CATCAATCTGTACACAAGATTGGCCCGGGCCACACATCGTCCTGTGCAAACTGAACTGAACTCGAACCCGTGAATCCCTTCAAGACTATTTCAGCAGAGCTGGCTGCCCACACACCGAATATTGTGTGTAGGCATAGATACCGTATTACAGGAGAGATGTAACGTGCTTAGAGTGAGTGCAACGCCTAGCCACCCGAATGGTGACTGGGCAAAAGGGGAAAAGGTACGAGCAGCGGTTATGAGTTCTAAATCCCTTTTCGCTGGAGCGTAGACGAATGAGGGAAGATGTGATAGAGACTTTCAAAATTGTAAGAGGTCTATAGGGACTCAACCTAGATGACTTGATTACGATTTCTCGTGCCCAAAACACGAGAGGTCATAGCTATAAACTCCAACAGAACCACGCCAGCTTAGAAGTACGGGCCAACTTCTTCGCACACTGGGTCACACCTGTGTGGAACAGGTTACCCGCAGAAGTGGTCAACTGCGTCAATGTTAACACCTTCAAGGTGGCCCTGGACGCATGTTGGTCAGAAACGTTCCCCGAAGTTAGGACTTGGACTGGGAACAATAAGAGTAAATTCTACTTTAACCAGAAGTTGTTAAATGATATAAACTTGGGCTTGAGTGTTGAAATTATCCTAAAACCTGACTATCCTGTCACATATAAGCTGTGTATACGAACGCATATGTACTTGAGGTCTCTAACCAATGGGACGAGAAGATATCCTTGCTTGTTTTCCTCCCTTTCAGCATACCCCCAAGCAGACAACGTTCTGGATACGGGGTTGAAGTGTGAGGAACACAAATACCCAAGTGAACTGCACGCAGTGTTGGAAGCTACTCCCATTTGCCGACAACACAACGAACTGGACGCTCGATTGGCAAGAGCCACATTCGTCCTGTGCAAACTGAACTGAACGTAGTAAGCATACCATCGAAGGAATTCTGAACGCTCGAGTGACCGCGGACATATTCAGTTCGGTACAACCTGACCTGACTGAACTGAATTTGTTTAATCCCTCTGATGTTTTCTTGTTGTCCTAGAGATCTTAAACTCACGACTTTAAAAATGTGTGCTCAGGTTAATCGGCCCGTTGTTCCAGACGTGAAAAATGAAAATAGAGGTATAAAATGTTGATTCATTCTACGTGTAGGCAGGAGACATTTCCACCAAGCGCATCGTAAAACCTCTTTGTTTGGTTCCGAAAATGAAGAACAAAACGGGATTACAAACACAATAATGCATACACAAAACGTTTCAAACAGTAGCTTTGAGGATAGAAGTACAGACTCAAAACTGTAAAGCATCAATTTAGTAATAATAACACTCTTTTTTCAGCAGAAATGCCGACAGAAAAGATGTAATGTTTCGTGATGCGAACTCCTGTTCGAGGAAAAGCTGTAATGATAAGGTAAAAATGTAAAAGCGCAGGCTCATTTAGGGAAAAACGTGTATTCACACTTCATGACGGTGTTTAAAAATGACAGAAACAATTTGGTGATGAATAAAGGTATACATATATATAACCAAGCGGCACGTTGTCGGTAAATACCTGGGTATTCGCTCGCTACAGAGAGCTACATTTTCAATACCCAATTCCCATTTTTTTCACCTTCCTATTTTATAACGCACCATATACCGCATCCTCCCAAACACAATAACTGCCTTCCCGTGTCTTATGTAATCGGTAAATAAAAGACGCAGGTTTAAGAGATGATGTTTATTAAAATACAAGGCATAAAATGTGTACATGGCACTGCTGGTGTCGTCGCGTTATTTCCAGGGAGGGCATTCTATCCGTTGTGTTTTCTGCCATCTTTTTATTTCCACCTCAATCACGTCGTTTGTCATTCCAGAGAATTTGTCACAGCTCATGACAGCATCTTCAGAAATAAGCATTAATTACAACATTGTTCTTACCGAAAATTTAGTCCTGACGCTCTTCGCTTGGAGTGTAATTGACCTCGACAGCTAGATTCTTGTGAAAGCCGAGATTCATTGCACGTTTTATTGTGTGCGTAAGGTCTTTACCACCAAGGTTGATGAAATGTTGAACCTAGATAAACGTGATATAATCAAATTCAAATATTTGCACCATTTTGTATTGACTTCTGGTTACTGGATCAAACTTTCTGAATTGCGGCGTCTGTGTATTCATAATCTGATCCATTTTCCGATGTATCAGATCCAAGCTGGCGTCTGCATATAACGCAAATTATCTTACAAAAAATTAATTATATAGAGTAAACAATTACCCGTCAGTTGATTCAGATGTAGCTTGCACAGAATCTCTGTCTAAGAACTGATTTATAGTCTGTCTGGGTGACCTGTTAAATCAAGTTTAAGAAATGTTCATTACACCGCGTACATCATGGGAGACAATGTAGTCGGATAAAGCACGGGAATTGGACTCTTTGGCATTTGGCTGGGGCGACAGGGTAGTGTCCTCATGGCTACTTTGTGCTACAGATTAAGTGAAGAACGATTAACGTTGTGACTCATTATCGTCTTGTAGAATATTTTTTAGCAAAATGTTATCCCATCAGTGGAATGTGCCCTCAGACCCCAAAGACTGCAACCAATCCCTTCCAAGTTCAAAGAACTTCTTCAAGTTATCCCTTAAGTGAATGGTTATCGATTGTCTCATCACTTGCCGGATTCTGCCATTACAAACACTTGGAATATTGTTGCTGTCCATGGCATGTTCGAGTTAGCAATCAGGAGAAGCCTGATAGTCTCGGAAGTAGATATACATGGTCACGGCACTTGGTCCTTCGAGACCATTCATTTTTCAATACCATTGCGATGGCTTTGGCCTTCGCAAATTGCACGATACAGCACATCTGAAGAGGAATGACTAGGATTAATTTCATAATGATACATGGCGGTTGATAACTGTCAAAAGAAGTCAGAAGCTCAGTGACAGATAGAATGTATTATTGGTATACTAACAAAAGAATCGGTTTTCGGTAATAAAAAACGTTTACATCGTATAGCTGAAGGAGAATATACATGGATAGGTTTTCGAATATCTTTACAAATATATATATATATATATTTATAAAAGATGAGTTCAGAGGTTGATCGAAAAAAATCGAACTTCTGAAATGAAACCGTTGTGACATTTATAGTCTTTATAATACAAGTTTCCCCGAGTATGCTAACACAGTTATCTGGTGATCGCGAACTGTGCAAAACATTACCAATTAACGTAAATCGTTTGGAGATAGAAGACGATTTATTGGGAGATTCGAAATTGTTAAGTTCATAGAACAGTCGAGGGGCAACCGGACTCGACTGACGCTCAATTATGCGTCGATATAACAGCTGTGCTGGTTTAACAGTTCCATATATCGAACGCTTTATATTATTCATTTTGCTCTCGAATTCGAGCTACACTGTTATTCTTCTATATATACATTTCCAGAGTATTTTTTGTGCTCTACAGTTGTTAAAATGGGAGTTGCTCATTCTATTAATTTAGCGGTCTCATATTTATTTCCGCACTTCACACCATGACGTTTCTTCGATGTATGAAAAAGTTAGCTAGCATTGAATTTGGGGTTTTCGCAGCCTATCTTCCAGGTTGTGGTCCAAGGGATGAGGAATACCATTAGTTTTAGACGCTAAAAGATATGACGGAGAAGCAAAGTCCGAGACCCGAATTCTTCAAGGTCCGTCTATTGAAATTCTGTACCAAAAGTGTAATATTAATCACAACGGGGGGTTGCTTTCTGAACATTCTCCGCAACTGTAAACAGATCGCCCTTCGATTATATATATATATATAAGCCACTGTCTGCAGGAAGATGGATAGTTAAAAAAGTAACTGAATTTCTAGACTATCCCCAAGGTATATCATAAATAGTGCTAGTGATTTAGAGTTGCAGTAGACATGTTACAGATAAAATTTCCCGGCCAAACTCACAAATGAAATTAATTTCAGTGAAGTTTTGTTTGTGTAACACCAGTAACCTTGCGCTTTCGTGCGACGGATTTGGTCGTTTTGTCTTTTGGCTGCCCGTTAGGATGAAGCAGTAGGAGGAAGGCAGGAAAGTTAAAAGAGAAAATGGGGAACTTCAGTGGCTAAGATTGTGGCGCGAAGCCATACTACTCAGTGTTTCTAACCACAGACTACAATGATTTCGAGTTCCCAATTCAGGCAGCCTAGCGTAACCCATATGGATTTCGTTGCACACATTTCCAGCTTGTCGATACGAATAACAACACACATCTTAAAAACGAGAAATAGGCTCTACCTATATCTTCCGAAGGTAAACCACAAATGCAGACAGAAATTAATCAGTAAAATGGTCTAGAAAAATCATGCAGACACTGTTTACTCAGTCTAAGGTTTTAGGTAAAAGTAGCACATTGTTAAAAGCCCCAGAGAGAGCCGACAACATAAAGCGGTATTGAATACAAATCGCTATGTAAAAATATAAGGTAAAACCTAAGGCCATGAACCAGAAACTAGTTTTAAAAAATGCGGTGGCATCAAACGCACCACGAAACTTAAATAATGCAGAGAAAATAAGTTGCATAGGCGACTTGAACCAGCTAGTTCGTAAAGCTTGTACACAAACAGTTGGCATACCAAACGCTATTATAAGAGTATTGCACCTGTAGATGGGCCGAATTTGAGTCGGTTTTCAATTGCAACACATAAGTCCGTTAATCATTATTCGGTTGATTAATAAAACATTGAATAACAAAAAGAGGAACCACGTTGCGATGAATATTTAACAGTTTCTCTTGTACCGAATACCACAGCTCAGAGGGTAATGAAGCCTACGAAATCATTTATCTTACAAGCTTAGATTGAGACTTTAGACCGATTGCCGCGACCAGAACTGTCAAACTTACATACAACATGAGAACCACAGTTATTTTAATGTCTCAATAGAACTGCTTGGCAGAGATCAGTGAAGTTCGATTCACAGCGTTTCGCTGTACGATGATGATGAATGAAACTGCACTAGGAACCGCTTGCAAATTGTACGTATTTCACTTTTTTACAAAACAGGAAGAAATCAAACTAAACGGGGACGACGCCGGAACAGAAATCGACTCACTCATTGAAGCAGCTAAAGCCAGAGCACAACGACGCGAGCTAGAGAAAGCTGTACGTCAATCAGCGGAAGACGATACATTTTTTAAGGAGACAACCACTAAACCAGCACGTCGTGGAGGACTCCAGGCACCGTGGCATACGGAATTCAATGATACATCTTATGCTAATGGGAATAAAAGCAAGCTGTCTCTGAAGGATGTAACATTCAGACAGAAAACAACCAGTCAGGCTGATTTTCCGGAATATTCTATTCAAGAATTAAAAGTAAGTTCGAATATTAGCAGTTTGGTTCGTTTACAGCGTTCTCTTTTATCGCTGGGAGATCCACGACTTATCTTAGTCGCTGGCTGCTTTCAATGGGTTTGGATAACAAATAAGTGAACATCAAAGAGGTTACAATTGGTGTAGGGCCTATACAATCAACACTCTAGTGAAACAAGAAGAAGTTGCAGAGATCATCAGCACATATTATGTGAATTGAAATACTTTTCCCATCAATATGAAGCGGCTTAACATAAGGAGCAGTGATCAACCTACGAAACGATCGATGGCCCCGAAAAGCCAAAACATCAAAGCTCTTTGCAGCTACCAACAGGATCCTGTGAGGCAACGGAAGCTCTCGGGAATTAGAATTGGATTACATATATTTACAGATACATTCAGAAAGTAACCGTAATAAATCTCGTGGAATGAAGTTAATAACTGCTTGTTTGGTTTGAGTCCTTATTAACAAACAATTTAGATGAATTGTTATTGACCCATTTGTCCCGTTCGTCTCCTAAATTTATTCATATGCACGACTGAAGAGCTCTAATCAAAAGGAAACATGAGTCCAGTGATTGCCAAGTGTATGGTTGCTTGAATGAACTAAGGATTGTGCGTGAGGATGGGGTCTGAAAGAGTCAGTACAAAAGTAGAACTGGACATGAATGCCGCCTATAAAAAGACTAAATATTCACAAAATATCTTCCAGCAACTGAAATCAGTTTGACAAGTAGATATTAATCTTCCAGTCAAAAAACCAGTGCTTCTAAATACTACGGTAAAAAATGCTGCTATTCGGTAATCAATAATCGCATTGCCTATGTCCTACAAGCAGTCTCCTTTGAATTTGCGATTGATCGAAGAAATGCAAACATCTTCCTTAAGACCAAGTTTATTCCCGCAATCTAGGTATGCAAAATATTAGGTTATGAAGATCGCATTTAGTCTTGTTGATTCATTCCGTAACGACAAGATAAGGAATAAACGAATTTCACATCAAAACCCCCTTGAAAGTTCCAATTAAAAATGAAGTACTTCTAATGCATTGAACCTCACAGGAATCAGCAGTCTTGTGGAGCGAAAGTATCCACTCCCGATCAACCAAGATAAAAACGGAAAGCAATTGCAATTTCCATCCACAATAAGTCTTAAAAGTTATAAAAGCAGGCTACCAAAAACATGGATGGCCAATACTGCAGAGGAAAACTACTGTCAGTTTTATTGTATTGTGAGTTCACAAGTGGTGGAGCTTGGAGCAGATCAAAAGCCCAGAACTAATTAACATTCACAAACCGTCACCTGCGTCTCTTTAAAGGCCACACTCGATCAGGTGATCTCAGATCAAACCTATTTTTTTCAAAGTGGAATGAAATGAAGCATTTTAAATCCATCCAGAACCATCAAAGTCGAAGAGTTTGCTTAGGCCTGCTGTTAAAACGGGTCTCCACTTTACCATCGAAGTCAGCTTATATGGTAATTTCCCGCCTGTTGATAGGGCGTAATCTATACAAATATGTGTATCACACCCACAAGTATATTCGGACCACAACTAGTCTTACGATCTTTTTGCAACCAGATTACATGATAAACTGTCAGATGACACACCGGTATGTGATAAAGCGAATAGGCAATCATCGATGACAATTAACCGCTAGATGGACTAAGTAAATGACGATTCAGCTGGTTCAGTTTCAGCACAGCAAATCTACTCTTTAAAATTGTAACACCCACTAACTTAGCACGCCCATAACTGACAAATAGAATCGCAGCTGAATGCCACGTACTGGTCACTGCCCTTCAGCAAAACGCACCTATCTAACACCAGGATGTGTAACTAAGAAAACCTCTGATTACAATGTTACATCACGTACAAGCGGACTCCAACACTCATTAAAGGAACCGATGTTTTCGTTTGAAATATAGGAATCGAAACTTCCTTTGAAGAGAACAGAGTACAAAGACTCTGTGCCATGGTATCCGGGATCTAACGGAACAAACGAAGAACAGGATCAACAAGTGCCTTACAGGCGGTCCTCGGACGTGATAGGCGAAAGTTATATAAACAAATACGGAAACCAGAATCCTCATCGTCCAAAGACATTCAAAGAAAAGGTGGTAAGTCCCGAAACGAAAAGACGTATACCTACTTAATGAAAACACATGTACCAACATATAGACCCTATCAACTGATTAATCTCCTAAACAGAATAGTTAATGAAGCATTCGAGCTAAAGTTGGAAAACATTTTCAGATATCGGAGGTGCTGAATTATTGATTGACTTTACATATGTTAGTCTATTTCATTCCCAACTTTCAGTTAGTCTTGTATAGTACCAACAACCAGAAGAACGAAAAGTGAGCTAAACTAACCGTTTGAGTGCTGCAACACCTTTATTGTCACGGACGATATGAAGAATTGATCTGCACATTCCCTTTCAGGCTGATGTGGCTCCCGTAGCAGCGTCTTCCTTGCGCAGCACACCATACGCGCAACACAATTGAAAAAACCGAAACGGGAGAATCTTAACCCAGTGCGTATACCTGATGTGAACCAACCGGAATCCGCCAGAAATGTTGTTTCCATTCATTCTAACATGACACCAGTGTTGTTGACTGGAGTGTTCCGGATCTGTCTGACTCTTTTTCAGTCAACTTTACTTACAGCTTTCGCTAGTTTTTTTGAGGAATCGGAACTGACTCGTCCATCCCTTCAATTCATTGTTCGTACACACACACACACACACACACACACTCACACCGATGAATACTGCCTCTTGGTATCACGTCACCATTGAACATTTTGTACTTTTATCCGCAGCGGACCGAAATGCATCTGCGCAACCTTATGTGATAAACATGGTTAATACCACGACAGTGATAATCTGCGCAAGATGTAAGAATTCCCGAATGAAAAAATAAAGCTCAGAAAAGCTGAAATTATGAACCTATATTTGATAAATAGAGTACGTACACAATAGTTTATAAAACAAATGTAAGAATGAGTCGAACAGAGAAAAGAAGTTACATCAGCAAAAGGATTCAAAATTTTCAAGAAACTTAGTCAAGCCTTCCTTGTCCATAGGAATCACTAACAGTTCGGTACCGTCTGGGCCCTGAAAATGAATAGTAGAACACAAAGTATAACTTCCCTATCAAAAAGTGACATAATAAAACCTAATTAACACAAGTCTTCATACATGAACTACAAGTAGTTATTCCTTTGTTTCCGCTGAGTGTTAGGTAAACACAATGAAATGCAAAGTAGCAGAAAAGGAGTGTCTGGATTTTCTGTTTCATATATATATATATGAAAAAACAAGCAACAACTGGATATGCATGCCTGATGGGCGACAAGAACCGCGAAACTGGGAAGTTTCAACCAGTCATTCATATGCTATTTATTGTATAATATGTATGTATGGTACATTTTCTCAGCAGTTATCGGCAAAAAGTTATAAACTTCACAATCAAATTCTTACACGAAACCAAATCAAAGGTTTCCACGTCCGGTTTTAGAGGTGATTGCGCAAAATTCCGAGATTTTTCCGAACTTTCTGAGGAAAGTGGTGGTAAAAATATGTAGGAAAGTCCTGAAATGAGCGGCGTTATTCGCAACTCCGTTTTTCATTGTCCCTTTCGTCTAACTTATTGTTATATTTATTCTAGTGAGACGCAAAGTAGTTCGTCTTGCTAGGTCCCAGAGTTGAACTCTCCAGTACCAAACATCAAGCAGTAAGTTACTGTAACTAATTGATAAGGCTCTTTCCTGGTTCATCATACCAGTGTGCACAATATTTGTATGTATTTATTCAACTCAATGTAAACTGCTTGGTCAAATGGCATAATCATTAATTTGGTTAATTAAAACATAAATTCAACACTTCCAATGAAGCTAAACTAATGAACGTTAAGAAACAGAGTGAAATTGTTGAGTCTCGTAAGCCAAAAGGTTCGTGTAGCTATTCACTTCCCAAGCAAACAGTACTCGCTGGCATTTGCTGCTCTTCCATTGGTCAACCAAATAGACAGCCGAGAGGCAACAACAAAGACAGCCAGCATACAGTGCGACGTTATCGGAAATACGAACTGAAATAATCTGAGCGATTAGGCCAATTCCTCTTCAGAAATGTTCCGGGTGAACAACCAAACCTTGCAAAAAACAACAGAGAAGGAAATGTATCAAACGAAGAGGCCCAGACATACACCAAACTGAATCACATGAGTGTATTATATCAACTCATTCAACGGTGCTACCAAGCACGGCTGTCACGCTCTGTGCATGACCATTAAAAATCATCACAAAATTTAAGAGAACAGTTCTTTTCAGACTCGGCAAGCATTGAAATCAACGTCGTATCATGGGACACGTAGGTTGGGGTTGGCAGAAAGAACAGGGATCGAAAAAAATTCTCAAGAAGATGCATTCCTCGAGACCCGAAGTGACTGGGAGGTAGTCCAAGCATGAAATATGTTACACAACGTTGCCATGAAACCATGACCAAACACTGAGAATAATCCCAACAAAATAACTTTTAAGTGGTTTGCTTCTAAAACTCACTTTTCTTATGTTGATCAGTTTATGATCACGGAATTCAGTAAGTTGGATGCGCAGGGTGGCCTCGCTATTGGTGAGAAATGCGTCCCGACAACGCCAGTACAAATCCTCCAAAGGCATGCCTGTGAACAATAGTTGGACTGATTGACAATGGAAGTTCATTGTGAAAACAGTGCAATGAGCTGGAGTGAAGCTGCAAACAGCTGTATTAGTAACAAAAATGTACAAACTAATTACGGTACTAACATTGAGATGCGTGTCACACTTACCCACATGATTACCCCGTGTCTCATGCAACGGAGCATTTAGCTGATGCTCGGCAATCATACGAAAGATGTCTCGAGCATTTTGCGTCAGTGAGGCGGCTACCTGGCGCAAGCTTGCTAACTTGCCACCTGAGGCACCGGTACCAAAACCAAGACCACCAGCCAAACCACCAAGCAGGTTTTGTAGGAAGAAACTGTTCGCGTAGCTGGCTTCTTGTTTGTAGTCAGCCAATGTTGTACAGTCCTCCCAGATCCATGAAAATCGAGCAAGTTCATTGTGCGACCAGACTGTAATCCCCAGAGCCAAAAAAGATAAGTGCATTTGTTACAATGATACTCAGGGTACGGGCCAAACTCAAAAGCGATCCTTATAAAAGCCCATGATCTGGGTGCCTATCTCTTCCTTTTAAATGACTGTGAAATGTTAACTGCTGAGCAAGTGCTCCATGAAAGGGGACTAAAATGTCTACGAACAGTTAGTTCTGGATAAGAACGCTAACAGGAGCGTGCACAGTATGAAATTTAGCTACCAGTGGCAGTGAGAGATTATGTCGAATCATCCTAAGAAAATTGTAGCACTGAGGCAGGTGGGGATGGAACTTTCTAAGCATCCTGGTGAGCAGAAGTCAATTCTTCTTCAGCTGATAGCACCACCAACCAACCGCATTTAGTGCCAGTTGCACCTTTTTTGTCGAAAACGTTAGAGGAAAAAAGAGTGATGTCAATCCTCGATGTGCACTGGGATTATTAGTTATGAATAGGATATTTATCTTAGGAAAGAAAGCTAAAAAAAGTACATTTAAGCACCAGTAAAGGATGTAATAAAATAACAAACAAATGAAGATAACACTGAAAAGGGTTTATGTTACATCTCCGAGGTGGTTGGAATAAGGTGCTCTCAGCAGTGCGCAGTCAGGCAAATACGAGAATAGAACGTACCATCAGAAAATATCGAACACCTATTAATAAACAGTTTTACGAAGTAGATTGTGCGTCTTAGGTTACCATAGTTCGCTCGTCTACGCAGTATGTCTTTCATCCGTTACCAAGGTAAACTTGACTACGCATAGGGTGAACTACCAGGTAAAAGCCAAACAATTGATTTGAAAGATGAAGAACTTGATCGAGTCGGTGTTTATTGACAATCAAGGGCAATGTACTTACGTATGGGCATGTTAATATGGTCGACGGAAGCGATTAGATGCACATTGTCCAGAGCCGCAAGTTGTGCCAGTACAGCTTGCGCTTTGGTGTTACGCAGTCCGGGACCGTCAATATTGTGCAAGAGTAGATAAAGAGGAGCTTTGGATGCTTCTGCGAAAAGAATTGAATGAGTGACAGAAGTAATATTTATTGGAGTTTGATTAGTGATAATTACAGACCGAATGCCAATTTCTGCATCCAAGGCAACTTATTATGGTACGAGGGACATTGGGTGAATTATTTGTGATAAAACTCGGACAAAAAGACATCCGGTATAATAAGAGATGTTCGATGAAAAAACTCGATTCCTGAATTGGAGACGTGCAAGCCGATGTAAATAGACAAACGGAGACGAATCTTGCCGCATATCAAAGAATGATCGGACTAAGAGTAGAACGAGAAAAACCAGATCCAAAAATAGCGAAAATGGTGATGTATGAAAAAAATAAATTGGTTTTGTATATGTGGGGAGAATAGGGAAGAGGCGAGAATTTTATTTCGTGTGAAAAAGAACAAATAAAGAAACAAAAACGGAATAGACTGGGGTACATAAAAGAGTATAAGGCAAATGATAGACACACTGAAAACGGTGTATATGATTTTAGTTTTAATGGTTCCAATAAGCGACAGTGTATAGGGCGGCGGCTATAAACTCAGCTATTTGCTCTTTTCCCATTGGTTGAAAAACCGAGTGGCCGAAACGCAGCGACCCAAACTATCACAATATAGTGAGTGCAAGGTTATTACATGTGAATCATGACACTGACAACCATCTGGATAAATAAAATAAACTCACCCGTTTTACCGAGCATTTTTGAGATCAGGTCGAGTTGTTCTGTGGGATTTTTGCACTGTTCGGGCATTTGCAACCAGTCATGCGTGATCGCATTGAGGATCTGGTGAAAAATGACGACAGTAAGAGGAAGAACCGTAGCGTGAGGACAGAAACGAAAAACCTTTCGATCTTATCTAACGGATGATAGAAGGATGGGTTGTCGGTTTCTAGGAATCACTGCACGACGAGACTGCACCTTGACCTGGTGTGATGGTTTGCGTGCCTCAATGACCCTGCGAGCTACACAGGATGGCTTCTCACAGCCGTAGATCCAAT